CTTAACCACTTTTTCTATCTTAGTGGAAAGTGTCCGTCGGATCAACAACTCTATTTTTCTTTCTAGAAAGAATGACTTTATCCTTTTTGTTATTATGGTACCAAGATGAGCATTTTATTTAATATCATTTAGCTAAATAAGTGACCTAACAAGAGAACAAGAGAGGAAACTATGAAACGATCACTTTAAGAAATGAATCCACCACTATCTTTTCCTTGCACCATGGATATGGTCTACGCTTTCTTAGGTTGTTGCATAGTTTACCAAGTTGTTTTCTTCATGTAGGTGAAGAAACTCTCATCATAAGAAGAAAAGACAAATTTCAAGTGTTATCGATATTATAGATATGTGAGACATGTGAAAAAACATTATCACCACTTAAGCTTTTTATTTCATGACAAGCTAAAAAAGAAGAAAATCATTCTTAACGATGAAGATTATGTGTGAGAAAATCCCTTGCCATAGTATCAAAATCACACAATTGCCAAGTGAATGTCATTTCTCAATATTCAACTGAATTAGGGAAATAGGAGTTTGACATGAAAATCTACCAAGTTACTCCTAGATACACCTTATTTTATGTAAAAGAAATAGATGACAATGATACCTCTATTACATAGTCTTTACTAAGACTCAATTTTTTTTGTAATTTTATCAATCTTTTGGGTTTTAAAGAGAAAGTCAAAGAATAACTAAGACAACTATTGTTTAGATATCTAAGGAATATAATGGTGAGTTTTATGCTACCAACTATTTAGTGGGAAAAAAAACATGAGAATTGTGTGCTCTTTATTAATACTAATTATTGTGTGGAGAAGACCAACCATAACCATCCACTCTATATGAAGAGTAAAGTGAATGATTTTTTGTTCATAGGACCCTTATTGAGTGGTTCTTTTTTTAATCCCATCCCATTTGCCACTTTAAAAAATTTATGCATTGATGAGAGATTTATGAATTGGATAATAACTACCCTTAAAGCCTTTAACAATACTTTTTTTTCCAAACTCAAAGTTATGTTATAATGGATTTTCAAATGAAACCTATATAATGCTCAACTAGTTTTCATATCATTGATGTTACTATGTCTCATCACTTATTAATTGAAGGTTTTTCCTTCATAACTTTTATTTGATTCCCTCCTTCAAGCATCAAGTGTAAAAAGAGATTAGAGAGGGATAAACATCTTCATTTTTATTGTCAAGGTGTCTTTTGAACGTAAAGAATGTCATTTTACGAAGCATCATTCTATAATGAGCTTGCAACCAATAGTGAGTGCTAGATTGGCAAACCAACGATCATTTCTACTAAAGTAGTGGCCAATGAGAATGACCACAAGACAAAAATCACTCATAGGGATGTCAAAAGAAAGAGGTGTAATGACTATGATAATAACTGTGTAAGGCGGCTAAATCCATATACCAAAGCTATCATTATACTCATACACACACACACACACACACACAAACACATTTGATCTTTTGTAATTCTTGAGTGTTTCTTCCTAGTAAAAAATGAACAAGTTCTAGAGAAGAAAAATTTCACTCACACACACACACACACTTGATCTTTTTTAATTCTTAAGTGTTTCTTCCTAGTAAAAAATGAAGAAGTTCTATAGAAGAATAATTTCATACATACACACACACACACACATACACACACACACACACTTGATCTTTTATAATTCTTAAGTGTTTCTTCCTAGTAAAAAATGAACAAGTTCTATAAAAGAACAATTTCCTTTTATAATTCAATCTTTACAGACTTTTTCAAAAAATCTATATACTTGGCATTTAAAAAAAAAATGAATGAATGAATACAAAAACATAAGAGTGTCATACTCTTAAAGTTTGCCAAAAGACATGTTCATCTAACCAAACTAAATTTTCTCAAGGCAATGAACATTTCAAGCTCGGTCTTTCCTTCTAATGCTAATATATTATTCATATAGCCAAGCTGCACATTGGTCGAGCCATGAGCATTTCATGCTTAGTCGTTGTTTTGATGTCAATGCCATGTTCATCCGGCCTAACTGCGCACTAACCGGACCATAAGCATTTCATGTTTAGTTTTTTCAATGGTAACGTCATGTCAATCGCCCAAGCATCACGTTGGCCGGATTGTGAGCATTTTATGCTCAATTTTTTTTTAATTTTTTTATGGTAACGCCATGTAATGTATGCTAGATAGACCGTGAGTCTTTCATGTTTAGTTTTTCTTTTTTATGGCAATATGATATCTATGTAGCCATTCCGCATGCTAAAGCGTACACTTTTTATGCTTATTTTTTTCTTATGGGAATGCCTTGTTCTTTTAGTCAATCTATGCTCTGCTCGAGTCGTGCCAAGTCGTGATAGGGCCAAGTTGTAAACCTTTCATGCTTAGTTTATCTTCTTCTTCTTTTTATGGTCATGGCATGCCTATTTGGCCAAGCTGAATAATGGTTAGATCGTGAGCATCAAAATTATTTTTAGTACAAGAAAAGAAAATTCGATCACATCATTGCATACTAAGCATTCAAAAAAAAAAAAAAAAGGTTTTGGTCGCGTCAACAATTGATGGATCAAAAACTTGGGGAAGAGCCAAAAAGTGCTTAGGAATTGTTGTTCTTTTGTATTGTTTTGTCTATGTCAAAATAATATTCCAAGTATTTCCTCAAAAGGATGACATCTAAGACACTAGGGATTTTGAGACTAATCCACATATATATTGTTTTTTATAATCTTATTTTATGAAATCATTATCGTTTCCAAACATGAATTTCTTATTAATGTGTTTGCTCACTTAGAGCTTGCCTTTATGCCAAATCTTGACCAATTTAGGAAGAAAAAAGTTAATATACTCAAATAATTTTTTTAAATACACATTAAAAAGTGACATGACATCCGACATGGCATTTTAGGAGTCATGTTGCTTGTCAATAAAGTTTTTCACTTAGGCTTAATCAATTTTTTTTAGTAAATCTAATTGCCACAGAAGTGATAGCTATGATATGCTTTGACAAGTTCATACACTTGACCAATTTTTTTGCAAAAAAAAATTATAAAAAAAAGGCTTAAGGTTAGCTAGTTGTATTGCTTGGCCAACATATATATATATATATATATATATATATAAAAGAAGATGCTTGCACACTACTTAGTTAATTGATTATAACTTTTTATTTGATTGTCCGTTCGATGCGAACCATACGAATTTGAAAATTTGATCTAGAGATCCATAGTTTGATGGTGATGAAAAAACCCATCAAAATTCATCAAAGTTGTTCAAGAAGATCAAAATCCCCTCTAACAACCCATTTTCAAAATGGCTCATAGCACGTTTGAAAACTTTTACTATTTATTTTTTGTGTATTACAAGGCTCACAACTAGTCTATCACACTCTTGAATATTTATTTGGTATACAATGAAAGACTCACAACAAGTCTAACACAATTATTTTGTTATTTGTTCTAATTTTATTTTTCTCTATCTCGTTATACATGATTGCACTAACACTTTTAATAACAAGGTTATTCATGTAATGGGCTAGATGTATATGTTTCATTTTTTTCTAAAGTCAATTAAGTAATTTAGGTAATTTTGTTACGTGTTAATCTATGTTATTTTTTTTTTTTTTTTGGTTTTGACATGATTCAAGCTACACAACATATCAATTAGACTAAAGACGGATATGGGTATTATAATAGGATTAACGTCCGGGTTTTGTATTTAGGATGCATTTGGAAGATTTGTTTAGTAGGTTCGGAGTAAGGTTCGTTAAAGAAAAGCTGAATTGTTATTTTCTTTCGTCTTTGCATCGTTTTCATTTCACTATAAATATTAGCCTCATATCATTGTGTGAGGGATTCAAACTTTCTAATCTCTAGAAAGAAAAAACCTCTAAACGCTCTCTCAAAACTCTTCCACTTAAACATTAAACAATATTTAAAACTTTATCTATTTAAACTTTGACTCTCCATCTACTTGCCACTCGAATTATGTCTTACTAGCACTATTTACTTCTCCTTCTATACCTCTCACTACTTGCATTTATTCTTGTTAGTAAGTTCACCATTGCTTCTATAGATCACAACATTATCTCTCTATAGCTTGATTAATTTGTCGATCAATAGTTGATCAGTTCTCAAGAACTCCCACATATTCTTTAACTTAAATTGCCTCTTAGATGTTCCACGATGCTCACAGTACAGAGGCATGGCAGAACTTGTTGCATCCTTACCTAGGCAAATAGTTATCTTTGTTTTAGCACACGATTTACACATTTAAACATGTAAAAGAATCAATAGACGAAGAAACTGTCAAGAGCAAACAACAAATATACCACCAAATTATAGGAATATTATCAATTTTACACCCAAATTATTTTTTGTATTAATTTTACCATTAAACTATTTTAGTTTCTCAATTCAGGACTTTTGTTGTTAGAATTACTTTTAAAAAATTAAGTTCCCTACAAAAACAACATTGTTTCTTAAAAAAAAAAAAACAATATAATTTGGATGGAAATATAGATCAAAAACTTTAAAAATAAGTCGAAATCTTTAATTGAGAATTTATAAAAAAAAAAAAAAAAAAAATTGATGATAAAATTAATACCAAAAATTGTTTGTTGTCACATAAAGACTATCTATATAATTGGATATGGGTATGTTTTAGGTATGACCACAGTCAATGTTCAACGCAGAAAAAGTACTGTAGCTCCACGGTCCTTTGTCCTATAAAAAAGAAAGGAAACGTCTCTGCAACGAATCAACGATAGGGTAAAAAACTCATTGGACATGTAGTAATATTTGAATGGAGACCCAGACACAAGCATGCATGAATGATCCAAAGTCATCCAGGGAAAATAAAAGGGTCCAACACGCAAAATTACTTTCCAGTCAACTGAAAGGATCTAATTCATGGCTAATGGACGGAAAAGAGAAGAATGTTGAATTCTTGCCAGAGTGTCTGACCCTCAAAAAGCATAATCATCGTGTAAAGACTAAAACCTGCTACACCTTCTGACCATTAACATTCAATAACCACCGGGAAGATGAGGCCCTAAAGAAAACAACCAAAGAGTGGAAATTTGTTCCAGAAATTACACAAGAATGGGGCAACAAGTCAGGAGAAACAACTAGCTTTTTTTGACTGTCTGAAACTTTCTGTACCGAGAATTGAAGGAACAAAAAGAAAGTACATCAGCCTTCTTTATTTCAAGACTGGAGCCCTTTAAGCCATTTAAGAAATCTTCACATGCATTATATTTTTTAGTAAGCACGAATATATGCACAATCTCGAAAACATGGCAGGAAATTATAAAATGAGAAAATGTTGTCTGCTAATTGAAAAGGGAAGGAGATTAATTAAAGAAAAGGAAAAAAAAACCTTTAGTTCCTTATCATCGTTTTCATTCATGCACCGGCCATGGCAAAATGCTGTGTTCTGCTTAATTACAGCAAGATGCATGTCTAGGATGCCTAGCTTCTGTTGGAGACCCTCCAGGACAATATAACCAAAAGTAAAAAAGAGCTCAAGGAAATTATAGCTACACCAAATTCCAAAAGTTAAGCCAGTAACACCAGTCTGACATCCTTCAAATATCTGGTTATTCTATCTTAATTTCATGATTGAGCGCACCTCTGCCTGATTGTGTGCTGGTAAGGAAAAAAAAAAAGAAAAAGAAAAAAGCATGCCATGTCACATTAAGACATGAATACAATGGCCAAAATAAAAATGAATTTTGTTCATGAAATCAAATTTACCTGTTTAGATCTTGGGGAAGTTATAAGATTTTGTTCCATATACTTCAGGAGCACTCCTCGCCTTGAGTCTGGTTTCTTCCAACCACGCAAGCTTCTCGAGAGATATTACTGCCCTTCAAATTACAGGCTTGTATTGCAAAGGGAAGTGATGTTGTAGCTGCAGCTGCCAATTCGAATTCTTACAGACTTAACATTCTCATGTTCCTCGTTTATATAAGCATAGAAAGGAAAAAAAAACACAGGTATGGCCTACCACCTGATGGATTCAATTCAGCATGATTTACATTTAATTGCTGATGTGGCAAAAGATCTTCTCTGCAAATTTCCTTCACATTGCATGCATGTTAGATTGCTAGATTTGGATTACTGCTTCTACATAAGCATTGCTTAACCATAGGGATCATATTCAAAATTACCTCAGAAGATGTGCGAGGCAGAAATGGCCCAAAGTGAGCCTGGATGGATGATTCGAAACCAAAAGGAGTTACAGAATGGATTGTGTTTGATGCAGCGGGTATTGATAGCTGGTTTGAAGAAGTGGATTGATTTGGAAGACCGAACATTATTTGCAGCCAAGCTTCTTCATCCAAAGGATCAGAGCTTGTCATATTCCTATGCTGAGATCCAGTTTCTTCACCAAATCCCATTCTCGTCTGAGAGAGTTGTAATGGCTGCAGTACTCCAGGTAAACACATTGGATGCAAACTTATTCCATTTCTCATTGATAGCATCTGCAACATGAAACATCATTGCAGCAAATCAGAAACAAACTCAGTCTCATCATCTTTTTTTTTTTTTTGTCCAATTCCTTTCCATAATGACATTACTTGTTTAGCATTTTTTATGGATAGGACAGAGAAAAAATAGTTCCTAAGCTGACGATCAAATTCAATGACTAATGGATGAATAAATCAAATCATGTAAGGAAATGAAACTCCAAAGAGCAGAGACAAGCTTCCACACTCAAATGAGATTAAGATGTGATGCTTTAATGCACACGTTGCAGGATTTGTTTGGCTTCAAATGATTCTTTCGGAGGAACATTGCATTACGTAATCAGGACAGTACACCATTAAAGTAACATATAGAATGTTTTGCTTTTCCATACAGCAGTCAGTACAACTTACTAAAAGAAACTGATAATGAGAACTAAAACTAAGCTTTTTTGAGGAAATTCACCCAAACAAACAAATTAAGAGATTGATAGATATTGTGCATCGAATGACATGCCACAGTGAAGTCATCAAGAAAGATAAGTACTGCATAATGCATAATCACTAAATAATTCCACTCTCTGTAGTTCTAATTGATCCCTTATACCCCGCCACAAAAGAAAAAAAAAGAAAAGGAAAAAGAAAAACCCAACGTTAGTTACCTAAGCACTTCATTCTGTTGTACTTAAGAAAATCATAAGTCTAACGCCAACAGCCAGAATCGCAAGTTTCTATGAGACTTCATCAAAAAAAATTTGTGAAATTTCATTTTTTTCACTCCCTTTCAAGTAAAGCTTCTTTACTTTGAGGGTGCTGAGAGTTCAGCGTCAAAACAAGGAAATTGATTGATCCTAATATATGCACACATACGTGCACTATCGACCATCTTGTAGGTAATTATACCTAAAGAGTCCACATTGCTTATGCCTGCAAAATCTTCTACCTCCTTAATCCCTGTACACCAGTCAAATACACCCCCAATGTCAAGAACCTCAACTCCTTCAAGGTTAGTGAACCAACCAGTCAATAATCTACTCCATTTTCTAAATTACTTACATTTCGAGTACCAACAAAACTTCCCGATGAGTAAATTATATTTTAGAACCATAGATGCCTCTCTTTGCTACGAGAGTAGTTAATAGATCACAGAATAGGCAAACGACCCTTCTCAAAACCTTTATATTCAATGATGCCTAGAAATTTCCTAAAAGGTATGGTGTAACTGAATATGATTTTGGATTGAAAATTGCCAATTTAATACAAACCTGTACTTGGAGCTGAAGCTGCTTGAGATACTCAATAGCTTCATCGAGCATAGAAGCCTTATCTGTCTGCTCATACAAAGAAATCACACAATACAATTCTTATCATAAACCAACTTTTCAACTTCAATGAAATAAAATTAACCAAAGCACAGAGGAATTAAAAGCCAGAAAGTACAACATACCTTGTTGGAATTTGGAATCAAATTTTGCAGTGCCTTCATTTTCTCATTAATCCTGCTCCTCCTCCTCTGCCCAAAAACACCCCACATAGTACAAAACCCAGTTAGTGTGCAAATCTAAATCATAGGAAAAGAGATTCTTAATAATATATAACAGAGAAATGACATTAAAAATAAAAAATAAAAACAACAACCTTTTCAGACAAATTATGAACTTTTGCAGCTCTACCTCTCTTTGAGCTTCGTGGAGGAGCTGGCTTTGGTGATATCTCATCCACTAAAGCTTCCAAACCCTCCTGAATTTTTTTTTTTTAAAAAAACCATAGATTTAATTCTGTAGATTCCATCTTCTTTAAAAGTTATTTTTTTCCCTACATTTTCTTATCAAACAGATACAAATAGAAACCCCAGAACAAGAACGTACCTCACTTTCACAATCACACTCATGATCAGTCTCATTCTCTCCTCCACCTCTCACATTCCCAGACCAATGACCAGCACTAACTCCATCACTAGAACCCACACCTAAGATCCCTCCTGAACGACGAGGATCGTCACAAGGGGCTGGCACTGAAAACGGCTGCAGCGTCCGTGGGCCTACAAATGAGGAAGAAGACGTAGATGAAGGTGGACGGAGGAGAACTTGATGGAGGAAAAGTGAGATGTCGTCCGATGAACAGTTGTGATGACGAGATGCAGAGGAAGATGAGCAGGTCTTATTAATATTGTTGGTTTCATAATTGTAGATATCTCCCATTACTCTGATATGCTTTTGTTGCTGTTCTTGTTGGTGTTGGTGGCAGGGGGACTACTGATAATGCTTTTGTTGTTGTCTTTGGTTTTTGAACCAAAAGTTGTAATAACAAAGCAATATGGAGGGGGAGGGAGTTGAAGCATGAGATTGCTTGAGCTTTTGAGAGTTCTACGTCGAGTAGCGTGGGTTTGTAAGTCAAAATCTAGTTGGGGTGTGTTTGGTAATGCTGTTAGTTTTTCTTCTATTTTTTTGTTTTATCAATACTAGTTGTAGGTATGACTTGCTAGTTATATGCTTAAAGTTAAGTAAACGAGTGACCTTAGCAGGATCTATGAAAAAATAAATTAGAAAAAAATTGAAGATGAAAAAAATTAAATAAGAAAAAATACTATTGGGAAATTAGAAGAAAAAAGTTTTTTTTATTGTTTTTCTTTTTCTGTTTAGCCAAGACAAGTGTATATATATATATATATATATATATATATATATATATATATATATATATATCTTTTTTGGTGTACAGTTCCCAAGATCGAGAAATTGAAGAGGAAAAAAAAATTAAAACAAGGGTTTTTTTTTACTATTATTCTTTTGAACAATTCTATCAAAAGAAAATAAAAATTTTTGGTGCACAAAATATTGAGATTTTCTCTAGCATTAATTTTTAATTACTACAATCATAAAGAATTATAGTGTTTGGAGTAATGTTTTCATACACTTTTAGACTTCATAGAAATACGAAGATTTCATAGATTTTAGGATTTTATAGTGAAACCGATTTAACTAGAGATATATCTTGTATTATTGTCAATATTTTTACTTCTCAAATTCAGAAAATAACTTAAGTGATTGTATTATTATTATTATTATTTTTTTTAACTATAAGAGATTATTTTGGAGTTCGTCTCATGGTTTTTTCTCTACTATAGAGAGGGTTTTTCATGTAAATTTGATATGCTCTTATGATTGATTTATTTTATGCTTTTGATTATTGTATGTGTTTGGCTTGATTATTTTCTCACGAAATTTAATTTATAAGAAGTGGGATTAAATTTTCAACGGTGGTATTAGAGCTTTGGTTGGAATTTTTGTGTAAATTAGATAGAGAAAATCATTCGAGAACCATGATCAAATTAATGGTTTTGAATTATTTAATTGGAAAGTCGATAATAGAGAGTTTACTTTATTATCATGATTTGCTTGATCTAATTGAATTAGGAAAAACCGAATCAACTGTCAAAACTAATGATACTTGAAAGAAAAAAAAGCATAAAAAGCCATTGGAGTTATTAGATAATGGATAGATGATGTAGTGTTTCATCACATATCTAAAAAGACATATGTCTAAAAATTAAGAGGCATGTAAGAAAAAAAGGCTACACATAATAAAGCTTTTTTAATTATGGAGCTTGTAATTTGAAATACATAAATGAAGGTTTGTTGCTAAATATTTGAATGGCTTTTAGAATTTAATTAATCAATTGATAACTATGAAAATAGTGTTAGATGATGAGTTATGAGCACTATTCCTTTTGGAGATAACAGTTGAGAAACTTTGGTTGTGACACTTAGTAATTATGCTTTGAAAGGTGTTTTGTTGTTTTTTATGGTTAAAAATTGCTTGTTCAATAAAAACAAGATGAAGCAAAGTGGCGAGTAGATGAAGTACAAGTTCTTATCACAAAAAAAAAAAAAAAAAAAAACATGGAGAGAAGCATGAACAAATAATTTAATAGGTATGATAAATCTAAAGGTAGATCATAGTCTAAAGGCAATTTTAAATGTTATCACTATGGAAGAGAAGGTCAAATCAAGAAAAATTGCAAGACATTAAAAAAAAAAACCAATAAGATTTGAAGAATCAACTCGAAGATAATATGAACACCACTATAGTACTAACTTCATATTAGAATGTGATGGTGCTCTAATATGGAGAGAATATGTAATTTTACAAATGTTTATGTTGAATGCGTTGCTAACTCGGTAACTTATATATCATTCTACTTTTAAGAAGGAATTCTTTATTGTTTAAAACGTAAAAGACATTGATAGAGTAAATATATGCAATGATAGTTATGCTAGTGTTCTCGTAGTTAGGATATGCATATAAAGATATGTATATGATTGTCTACTAACTTTAAAGGATTGTTGCATGATTTAAATTTATGCATGAATTTGATTTCTACTCATACCTTGAATATTATCAAATACTGTAATCATTTTAGTAGTGAAAGATGAAAACTCACTAAGGAATCAATGGTTGGTGCTAAAGATAATAGTTGTGATAAACTCGTATATAACAAAAGTATAGTTGATTAAAGCAAAGAAGAGTGCAATTAAATATAGAACTTATCCAGGTTTGTGGTCTAAACAACATGCTCAAGTGAATGATAAAGAATTGACAAAGAAGTCTTATGTTACTTTTATCAAGGAGATTGCTACATACACAAGAGTATTTAATGAAAAATATGAAATTGATATTGAGCCAATTATTGATAATTATGATACCGCAAACACAAAATGTGATGAGGAGGGGAGTATAATCCTCTATTTCAGATTATAGAGTCTCAAGTGAGTAAGTCTACTAGTCAATTTCATTCTTTTACAAAGAATTCCACATCTAACGATGTCTTATTAATGGATGAGGAAAAGTTAAATAACTTTTGTAATATTTTGAACTATGTAAGAGTCATGAATTAAAGTTTAATGATTGGCGGCTTTGTGAGGTAACAAAGAAATAGTTTGTGGTGTTGAGAATGATTATCCAAGATAAAAATCATATTGATAGAACAACAAAATTGATTTCATACAATAAGAATGGACTAAATGCTAGTGTGGATGGCATGAAATCTAAATGATGAGTTGAGATTTTTTTTTTCATAGGCTAGAGGTGAAGGTTTGTGGGCATATGTTTAAGGTCTAGCCCGTGAATGACTTGAGCATAACCCACGAAGAAAAAAATTAAAATAAAAAAGAAATTAAATAGGAAAAGGACTATTGTGAAATTATAAAGAATTTTTTTTTCTTGTTTAGCCAAAGTAAGCATATAAAAGAAAGATTTTTTCTTTCTCTTATGCATGGTTGCTAAAAGAGAGAAATTGAAGAGAAAAGAAAAAGAAAGCAAGATTTTTCTTATTCTTTTGACAAATTCTATAAGAATAAAGCAAATCTATTGGTGCACAAATATTGAGGTTTTTCTAGTATTATTTTTGGATACTATAATTATAGAGAATTACGAGTTTTCTAAGCGGTGATCTCACATAATATTGAGTTTTGTCTGAAACATTAAGATTTTATAGATTTCAAGCTTTCATGAAAAAACAGATTGAACTAGAGATGTAATTTGTATTAATGTCAATATTCATGTTTTTAAAGTTTATAGAGAAATGCGAGTGATTGTATTGCTTTCTTGATTATAGTGGATTATTTTGAAATTAGTTTCATGGTTTTTTTTCCTTTCTATGATAGATAGGATTTTTCACATAAATTTAGCATGCTTTTATGATTCATTCATTTTATACTCTTGATTATTATTTTTTAAAAAATTTAATTTATACGAAGTGAAATTAAATTGATATGAGTAATATGAATATATAACTATGGATTCTAAAAGGTATTTGATAATACTAATACATATGATATGATTGAAAGTGCATCTAATTATCTATTCTTTCGCATTTCATGAACCAAAACTACCTAATTTATTAAGGGAAATAATTATATTAATCAATCAATTATAAATAAGAATTCACAACAACGATGAACATTATTGAAGCACACTATACCAACTATTCAAACAACTTTAATATATATAAATCTAATTAGTAGAATATTTTATTGTTAAAAATCTTTAAAATGTGATTGAATTAGTAGGATAACCAAGTTTTGCATTAATTTTTTAAGGATTAATTAGAAATATTAAGTGCGTATGGAATTTTTGATTGTTTAGTTAGTCACTAAACGAATTTGGTTTAGGTGACCAAATACCTGGTCATAATTGATCAAGTGAAATGATATTAAAATATTGTAGAATATGACGAAAATTTTTGAAATCAATTGTAAAATAAAAAAATTGATTTATTTATTTTTAATTGAACTTGAAATTTAATTTTTTTTATTGTATTATGAATATATATTATAAAAAGTGTTTGGTTATAATGCATACTATTCGAAGTGCTTTAATTATCTTATAACATAAATATACATATGCCTAGAAAGTTAAAACATTAAACCCGTATCGTTTAATAATATGACCAAGCATTTGATAATTTACAACAGAATTTTGTTTAGATAGCCACTAGTTTTTTTGCCTGCGTTATGCTCGTGGGTTGGATAAAATATATAAAATCATTAAAAAAATCATTTTAGTTTAATAGTCTGTTTTATGGTATGAATTTATAAAAAATATATGAAATCAAAGACGAAAAAGATTATTTATAATTTTTTAATAAAAAATTTTATATTTAACTATTTTTTATTTGTGTTTTTCATAATTTTTCCTTTAAAAAAAGGATTTATCCTTATTAATCCATGGATTATTAACTAAAAATAAAATTAATAAATATTTTTTAAAAAGCTTTAGTATTTTATAAGATTGTGTAAAAAAAAAAACAATTATTAAAAGCTTACATAGAATTGAAAATAATAATTTTCTTATTTTTATTTAATGTTGATGAGAATATTGATTTTTGAAAAAATGTGAATTTAATTTTAGATATTTATTTACAAAAGAATGAATAATATTAAAATAAAAACTATATTAATTTGACTCATTGAGTGGTTAAGCTAAAACATAATTTTAATTATTTAATTTAAAATAAGTCAATTTTAAAAGATTCAAAAATAAATAAATAAATAGTAAATTCTTAGTGTGGTAGTTGCATAATTAATTTCTAAACAAATAACAATTCAATATTTTATATTAAGTGAGTTCATAGTTTTTAGTCTAAAACAAAAAAAATACTATATAAAAAAAAGTTAACTTGCAAAGAATCGATTGACTAAATTTGAAGGTAATAGATTAAAATAAAAATTATTACAAATTTGATTTGATTAATTTTGATTATATAAAGAAGAAATAAATTAATAAAATATGTGAATTCTTTTTTTTTCCCTCCTTTTTAAATAATTTTTTATTTCTATGCTATGTATGTCTAGTCCTTGAATAAAGGCCATATGAGCAAAGCAACCATCTTCTTTTTATTTTTCACATTTAACTTTCAACTATTAATGAACTAATTTGAGTTTTTTTCTAAAAAAAATGAGAAATTTTTTTTGAAATATAATTTTAATCTAAAAATTTATTTCAAATAAATTATATATATATTAATCATGTCGCTATAATTTAAAAATTATCTAAATCTATTTTTCAAAAGAAAAAATAACCATATTCTAAAATTTTATTTCAAAATCCATACATATAAAAAAATAAATCAAAACTATCAGTAAATATAATTTTAAATTAATTGGAGGAGAATTAAAAAAATGATAAATTAAATTAGTGAATTTTAAATAATAATAATAATTAACAAAAAAAACTAAAACAAAATGGGGTCAAATCATAGTACAATTAAAGTTTAAAATTAGAAAAAAAAATTTATAGAAAAATTGAGGAGCATATAATTTTAAACTAATTGGATGAGAATTAAAAAAAAATTAAAGTAGTAAATTTTAAATAATAAAAATAATTAAAAAAAAACTAAAACTAAATTGGACCAAATCACAATATAATTAAAATTTGAAATTAAATTTTTTTAAGAAATGATAAATTAAAGTAGTAAATCTTAAATAATAAAAATAATTGACAAAAAAATTAATACAAAATGAGACCAAATCAAAATATAATTAAAATTGAAAATTAAAAAAATAGAAAATTCGAAGATCAAAATGTTATAAAAATGCTATGAATAGTGAAAGGAATAATGATTTATGAGTGTGTGAATAATGATCTATGAATATATGAATAGTATTTTAAATAATGAATGAATAGTAAAATCAACAGATTTACTTTAGTTTTATCTATAACTATTCAATCAAATTTGATCACATGAGATATTTTACGCCTAAAAATGATAATATGGATAATAAAATTTGTAAAATGATATGAGAGAATTTTCAAAATCAGTTAAAAAATATAGAAAAAATAAAAAGACAATACTTTATACTTTTGCAACTTGATAAATGCATGTTAAATGTCACCGGACAATGTAATTCCAAAAAAAAAAAAATATCAAAATTAGAAAATTAGTGATTTTATCGTAAGAAACTTGTGAAAGAGTTTGCAAGAGTTCCACCAAATGCCACCTCCAAAAAAGAAGTCCAGCCAAACAGAGCCTTATTGGTGCTAAAAGATGAATCTCACGCGTAGTTGTGGAGAGTGAGGAAATGTTTTTGGAGTAAGAGAATCTTGAAGATTTCGATATAATGCGTTATGGAGTATAGTCAAGGGATTTAATGATTGGTCTGCGAAAGTAGAAATTTTGACCGTCTAGTAAAGTAACAAATGGTCTTTTCCATGTCAGATGAAATCTACTATTCCTCGCACGTGACAGACACTAATGAAATGAAGTGAGGAAAGCAAGATCCCTTGTTGTTGTCATCCGTACTTGAAACTGAATCTATGTCCCTAGTTTGCGTTGAACCAGATTTGGATGCTCGATCAGTTCATTGTTTTAGAATAACTAGGTATTTTACTCACGATATGCTACAAGTAAAACAAAATATATATAATTATTTTAAAAAAATTATTTTATTTTGATATTTTATAACATATTATGTGTCCGTCAAAGTATATCAAATCAAAACTGAATAAAAATTCATTCAATTTTATCATTTTTAATTAAAATTTTATATTTAACTAATTCGTTTTTATATTTTCATAAATTTTTTACTAAATTTTTATTTATTTATCTCTATTCATATTTTTAGCTAAAATCTTATTTTATAAATTATTTTTTTCTAAATATTTTTTTACCTTAAAATTTTTAATTAAAAAATCAAAGAAAAAAAAATAAGGACCAAAGTAACCAAAATGAAACAAAAAAGTGAGACTAAAATCAAATAAAAAATATTTGCATACTAAAAAAATATTTCATACTAAAAAAATATTTAAAAAAGTGTAACCAAAATGTGATGTTACAAAAATTTTCATAATAAATGTCCTAAAAATATTTGAAAACTACAAAAATATCATTGCATAGTGAAAGGAATAACACATCTAAGTCTTAGCGAATAGTGCCAATACGTTTAGATAAATAATATTTTAAATAGTATAATAAATAGTAATCAATGGTTTTAGTTTATTTTTACTGTAATTATTAATTAGTCTCTCGTTTTTTCGAAACCAATTAATTAGTCTCTATTGTTTTAGATGTTTATTATTTAATTTATTAATCAATATTGTTCACACATAATTTAATATTATTTTATTTCATAAATTATCATATTTCTCCTCAATTCTTTCACTTTTTTTTTTACTTATTTTTTATTTCTAAAAAAGAAGAAGATAAATTAAAAAATACAAAGAGAATTAAGTTACAAAAAAATTTTAAAATATAAAACTAAATAACAATTTTTTGAAACAAAAAAAGGACTAATTAATTTATGTTTTAAAACTAGAAGGATTAATTTATAATTTACTCCATTGTTTCAAGTTTTTTTTTATTATTATAAAAATATCCTTATGTCAACTTGCATATCAGTCCAGATTAAGTCATACCCTAAATGGCGTTGAGGGCACATTTTTCGTATTGGTTAAATATATTTACAAGAATTTAATAAATTCTTCACAAATCCTCTATTGTATCCGTCCAATAATTTGAACTTAAAAAGTCAAGAAAGGGATTAAAGTTACTTCATTGTTCCAAGATACGGCTTTGTTTATGCTTCGATTGGTATCATGATGTTAAAGTATGATATCTATTATTTATTTACAAGCAAATTTTCTTGAAAAAAATAATCTTGTTTTCGATCTTATATGTGTATTAATTCGATAAATTAGTCTCTCTATATATATTTTTAAATTACTCTATATTCATCCTATTTTATCAATTGCCTTTTGATATAAATACTTTAAATTTTCGGGTTAACTCTTTACTAATATGACACAAAAACACAAATGTTAAAAAATAAAAAAATGGAATGAAGTTATTTCCATCTCATTATGTACTTATTGTTGTCACATAGTGACCTCTCAACAATCACAAAATGTAAATGTGTTCAAAAGTGGAGTTTTCACTCTATTTTTAAAAAATTAAAAATAAAAAAAAACTAGAAAACTGATCTTAAATGTTTTGGCTAAAAAAGTTGATTGCACAATTACGGAAGACTATGGTCACTTTAATGTGTCCTCGTGATGAGTGTCATAACCTATTTTGACATCTCGTTTATTTTTATACAAAATTCAAAAAAATTCAAAAAATTTGCATATTGTATAGGTTCTTTATTTTTTCATGATTTTTTAAAGGTATTTTTATAAATTTTTAGAATTTTCATTTCTTAGAATTATCTCCTACTTTTAATTAAAAAAAAAAAGAGAATAGAAGAGAAAAAAGGGAATAAATTGAAAAATGATTTGGAGTCTAATAGAAAAAGAAGTAAGAAGTGAGGACCAAATAACATTTAATTAGGGATATAAGTGAAAGGAAAAAAAAAATCGAGGGTCATAAATTGATAATGAATTAGGATAGAATTGAAAGAAATCAAGAAAATAAGGATAAAAAATTTCAATTAAAGGTCCAATTGGAGAAGAAATGATAAAATATACACTAAAATTGAAAAAAAAAAACGAGATAAAGAAAGGACCAAATTTAATTTTACCCTAACCCTAAAAAAATCATATAAAAACAAAATTTCTTCTCATTTTAATTCAGCTAGGTTGTAACTATTCATCTCCCCTCTTAAAAAAGGCTAAGAAGGGGACTATTCATCTTCCCCATCAAAACCTTAGCCGTCATGCATTTCTTCGCACTATTAAGCCGCCATCCACCTTCATCGTCGAATTCCAACTTCAACCACCATAGACCCTCACTACAAAACCACCTCAAACCAAAACTACCACTCAAACCACCTATGGCCACACAATTTACCATCCTCAATTACGGATTTAGCATTTACCAAAAAATCAGTCAAATCCTCACCGATTCACCTTTCGGCACCAATACCACATCATCAACCACCGATGTTGGAATCTTTATTGCATAACTAATCTTCTCCTTACTCGTAAGTGACAAGCATAGCCTCATCGTTCTTCCTTTTGACTTTCAATTCCTTCTTTTCATGTTAACTCCTCCTAGCTCGCCCTGACCAACTAAGCCTAATCACCATGCCAAAACACCACCTGACCACCACTAACCCATGGCCAAACTCCACTATAGTAAACTAGCTTTATTTTGCCAAAGAAGAAGAAAAAGAAAAAGATGAGAAAGGGTCGAAACTTTGACACAATTGATCTTCATTTCTAGTTTGTGGTGAGCTACACCACTTATAGAAGAAGGAAGAAAAGGCCAAGAGCTCTATAACAAAGTACTTCACTCATTAAAATGTGGCTAGAAGAGTGACTATTGATAGTCGGTAGTAGTGGTGTGTGTCTTACACATGCCTTGGGCGTTTTATTCTTTTTAGCATTAAAGACAAATTTGGTCATTTTCACTCCAAGGGTATGTTAATGTAAATGCCCAATCCAACCTTGTTTGTATGATTTAATCTATTGTAACATTGCATTTTTTATTTTATTAATAAGTCTTTTTATTAATTCTTATTGTTTATATTTATTAATAGAATTAGATAGAAGTCCATATGATATGTATTGAATTAATGATTAATCAAAAGATGTGAGACAAATGTTAATGCTCTTACATGATATCTTTAAATATTCTAAGTTATAGCATTGTCAAGAATGGACATTAACTATATGCGGTAAGACTTGTGAGTGCTATGCTTATGCTATAAGATAGCAGTAGAAGATCTCACACCTATTAGTATGGTGATGCCAAATCAAGCACTTAGGTGATTAATATTAGAGAACATATCACCTGGACTTGAATCGCCATGAGAGCCCATTTGGTTTAGTCTATGGGAATCTCTTACGAGATGGGTACAACTAGTCCTTTGACTTGAAGTTATCACGGTTATCTCATTAGTGGATTTATGTACCTTAACACTCATTTTTGATAAACTAAGAGTCCTTTTGAGGAGTTAATACCACCACTTCCTTATCCTTGGAGGATGAAGAAGACACTCCTCCTATAAATACAAGGGGAGGTGTGACAAAAAGAGTGAAAAAAGGCTACGACATACATGGCTTAGAGTAAAAATAAGGAAAAAATAGTTTTCTCTTTCCTTACACACATCACCTCTCTCCCTCTATCTTAGGTTGTCGTAAAATATTCATGACTAGATTTCTAATGAGTAAACATTAAATAAGTCGGAAAAATATGGAGCTAACACTTTATAACTTTTGATTGCTTTTTGTATGGGTGTTGGACTACATGGATTATCGATAGAGGCCGGACACTTGGATGATTCATTTTCTATAAAGGTTAAAATCTACGTTATAAGAAATAATCCTTTACTCACGTTTTAATTCTTGTGTGCATGATTAGTTAATTCAACGACTTGATATTGGAAGCTTTAGATGGAGAAATTTTTTTTGTTTTATTCTACACCTTTATAGGATGCATGATCTTTTAATTGATATTAGAGCCATCATTGAATCTTTAATTATATGTTTTGTTAATTGTGATTAATTACATGAATTATCAATTTTTTTATTATAAATCTAATATTTTGATATTTTATATATGTTTTTTAAATTGATTTTTAGGCTTTAAAAGAATCGAGCGAGCAAGACCAACGTTGGACGTTGGTGCTCGTACTTACGATATGGAGACATGATTGGTCATGTATTGGGTGTGAGATAAGCCTAGCCGCTCGCTCACTAGGTACGTAATAGGTCGAGCACCGGTCGGGCTAGTAGTGTGACGAGCCGGTATGCCTCACGTATGAGAGGCCTCGTGGCTAGGCCGGCCGCACTCGAGCACTCGATAGGCCGGACGTACCTCCCATACACTAGGCCTTCTAGCTAAAGCCGGTCGCGCACAAGGCACGCGACATGCCGAGCCCGGTAGGCAAGCCGGTAACACATTGGGTGCATGATATGGTAGGCATGCACTCGGCACACGCCGAGCCTAAAGGCTAGGCCATGATGTGTCTTGTTCACGTTTAGTGCACGTTTGGAGTGCTAGTGGGAGAGGCTTGCATAGGCTAGACACACATTGTACCGGGCAACAGGCTAGGCATGCGCACGCACCAAGAAATAAGTAAAGCGTGTGCAAGCACGCCAAGCCGATACGCCAAGCTAATGAAGCTGCTGGCTAGTGTTAGGCATTGGCTAGCTATGGTATGATAGCCTATAGGCTTAAGACTCAAAAAGTCTTAAAATTGAAATTTAGAGAAATTTTAATAATTTTATAAAATGATCAAAACATAGATTTATAATTATGACTACAATGAAATATGTTTCATTAGTATGTCATGTATCAATATGATTGAAGCATGTGTGGATGGTATGGATGAGTCGACCTAGTTTATGGAAATATGTGTTTATAATTTTTTAGTTAAATAAGACTCGTGTGTCCTACCTTATCTATCACTCTATTGTATTTCTTTTCTCATTCTACTTTCCTCGAATGTAACTCAAGTTTTATTATTTAAAATAAATATAAAAGTTGAAGAGAGGATATTAGAATAGATGTAATAAGAAAAAGCCAAAAAGTGAAGACAATCTCAAAGAATTTGTTATAATTTTTCACCTAGGTATTTGACCCACTAGTCTCCTCGTGGCTCGAAGGGACTAGTAGAAGAGATCCATTATCATTCATCGGTCCTTGAGTCATGGATAAGATGTTTGTTTTTATTTTACGATTGTTAGTATGCATGATAGGATTAATGTAATTGATGAATACTATGTATGTTAGGATGAGACCTACCATATTAAATCCTTCAAAATTAATATCAAGTTAATTGTCTTCCAACATTATGAGAAATTTTTTTTGTTTTATTTCGCACATTTATAGGATTTATGATCCTTTAAGGTAAAACCGAGATTAAAAAAGAAGAAGGTAATTTAATCATTTTTGGGATTGTTTGTGTTTTTTTATTTGTTTTTGTAGTTTAAATTTGTTAGTATGTGTTAGTTAAATATTTAAATTATGATGTATTTAGATTGAAGTGTATTAAGATGTGCCGTTGTGAATCGAACTTGAAGGATTGGAGACCTTCAAATGTTGATGTAAAATAAGGTTGGTTTAATACTTTATGATGGAGCCGTGAGGATGAGTTTGTATTTTATTTCATAGATTATCTAGGATAAGTACTGATCCTAGTGTGTTACAAGTTAATTAATTGATCGAATTGTGTGTGCTATGATTATTTAGAATGCTTGGATATCCGATTTAATCGAATCCATTGTTTTTATTTTATTTTATTCACTTAAATGCTTGTTTTCATAGCTCGTTTTGACCCATAATAATTTCTATTTTTATACAAAATTCAAAAATTACATGTTGCTTAGTTTCTTGATTTATCCATGATTTTTAGGTTTTATTTATTTATAAATTTTTAGTATTTCTATTTTTTAGGATTATTCTCTAATTTTAAGTATACAAATAAATGCAAAAAAAAAAAAAAAAAGGAGAAAGAAAAGAAAGAAAGAAAGAAAGAAAGAAAGAAAAGAGAATTAAAAAAATGAATAAAAATAATTTAGGGGTCTAATTAAAAAAGGATTTGAGAAATTAGGAGCAAAAGAAATTCAATTAAAAGGTATAGTTGAAAGGGTTTAAAATATGAGAGTCTTAATTGAAGATAAGAGGAGTGTAATTGGAAGAAATTAAAAAGAAAAGGGGTTGAATAATCTTAATTTCGAAGATAATTTAAAGAAAGCCAAAGAGATTTCTACTAAAATTGAAAAGGATGAAAGAATTTGGGATTAAAATTGATTTTTACCAAAAACCCTAATTAGTTTCCCTATAAATATCCTTCTTCTCCCTTATTTTTAAAGAAGGAAAACTGTTCATCTTCCTCACTAAAAAGACCTCAACAACCATTATATTTTTATTAGTTGAACCTCCCCTTACTAGCCACTCCTTCATTGATCTCCACTCGCCGTAACCCTCATCCACAATAACCATCTCTACCATTACAATCCTCACCACAACATCTACCTTACCATAGGCACCCTCCTTCATAACAACCATCTTCACAATTGAAACCCATTGAATCATGGCCAAACTCCTCCCACAAACTCATAACCCTTCACTCGCTACCATGGTCATCGACCACAACCAACCTAACCCCACTACCTTTCATCACTCACCTCAATTAGCCCCAAAACCCATAAACTTGACATCTTCCATTGTTAAACCCGTAGCTCCCCTATGCCATTAACTGCACTATCTACCTTATGAAAAAATCTAACACCCACCATCTTTTTCCCTCAACAAACCCTTACTACCACTCTTCACAAAAACCCATCAAAGCTCGCTCCCTTAGCCAAACTAGCCACCACAGTTCAGTCATGAAACACCAGCCCAACCACCACATTCCTCCACTAAAAGCCTAGTTACCAATGATCTTTATCATAGCCCTCATACGAGCCTCTCACCTCGAGCCACTACAATAGTCCCTCTTCTATCAACCAACACCAATAATCAAGTCCCACCGCTAGACTCCTATATCCACTACCCCAGCAGCCCACTAGTCACCATAACACTAATAAAACTCTCTAACCTTTTCCCTTTCCTCTAAGTGCCCAAACCCATTACCAAAACTATATCCACCATATGAACAACCACCGCCACACTCGATGACCATTTTTTCATACATCCTTTCCATAAAAATCTCTCATCTCAACCCAAAATTCTCACTACTATCATCACAATAAACTAGCTTAAAAAAAGAGAAAAAAAGGGACGAGGTTGAGATTTAGGTGGTCCAGCTTCTTTCTACGAGCCACGATGGCTAACTCAATCCATGGGAAAAAGGAAGAGGAGGCTAGAAAGAGCAATTCTATCATTTTTTATACCCGGGATAAACTTATAATTTTTTACATCGGATCGCATTTTGGTCATTTCTAGTATCAAGGAAATCCAAGTGTCTTTTCATTCCAAAGAAAAAATTGGTATTTCTAAAGTAACATAAGATAATTTAGTCATTTTTATGATCGTTTGTGATATTTGTTCTAATT